AGTGTCAGGGGTTAAGAACACACACTGTTCTTGCAGAGGACCGGAGTTTGATTTCTAGCACCTAGGAGTGAGGCAGCTCACAGATATCTGCAACTACAATTCCAGCGGATCCAGCAGCATCATCTCGCCCCTGTGGACACCAACTTTACTGTACATGTACACACACACACACACACACACACACACACACACACAATTAAAAATAAAATCTTAAAAAAATAGGTATTCCATGAAGTAAACTTCTCAGTTTAGGTCAGGCGTGGTGATGCATTCTTGTAATCTAAGCCCTCAGGAGAAGGAAGCAGGAAAATAGCAAGTTCCAGGCCAACCCTGATTAATCAGGCGAGACTATCTCCAAATAACAACAAATCAAAAATCCAGGCCCTCTTTTAACTTCCTTCTTTGGACGGCAAAGAGATTGGGTGACCTTTGTGAGCTTCAGGCCAGCCAGGGCTACATAGTAAAACCCTGTCTCATAAAACGAAACACAAAGAAAACCTTCTCAATTTAAAGAAACAAAATATATCCAGTCCCCTAGAAAAAAATTATTTAAATAAATGAAAATTTTTGTCCATTAAGAACCAGGATACTTTGATTTGTAAACATATTTGACATGGGGTTAGAGAAGTGGCTCAGTGGTTAAGAGCACTGATTGCTATCTCAAAAGACTTGGGTTCAATTTCCAGCACCCACATGATGATTCAACCATCTGTTAATCCAGGATTTTGCCAGACAGTGGGTGGGGAATGCCTTTAAACTCTAGTCTTTGGGAGACACAGACGAATTTCTGAGTTCAAGGCCAGCCTACAAAGTAAATTCCAGAACAACCAGAACTACACAGAGAAACCCTTTCTTGAAAAACCATAATAATAATAATAATAAATAATAAATAATAATAATAATAGTAAGCAAGTGTTTTGCCAGGCATGGTGGTACAGACCTTTAAGCCCAGCGCTGGGCAACAGGAGACAGATGCAGGCAGACTTCTATGAGTTCAAGACCAGCCTAATCTACATAGTGAATTCCAGGATAGTCAGGAACATCAATATAGAGAGACTCTGTCCCAAAACAAAACCAGATTTTTCACAATGTTGGCCAAGGCATTTTCCTGCCTCAACCTCTTGACTGCATACAGGTGTGCACCACTCAGTCCAACTACTCTCAAGACAATGTTACTTCAAAACTCTAAAGGTCCAGCTGGAGAAGGGCAGCAGGTAAGAACACTTACTACTCTTTGAGGACCCAGATTCAATTCCCAGCACCCACACGCATGAAGGTTACTGGTGCATTTCTATGGCTAACTAGTAACTAGCTCTGCCCTCTGATCTTCAAGCAAGCTTTGTTAGAATACAAACAAGATTTCACCACAAGCTTCTGAGCAGAAGTCTAACTTTAGGGAATCATAACGCCCTCTTCTAGTTTTGGCAGGCACCTGCAGATATATGGCATTTACTCACCAGACACATACATGTAACTAAAAAATAAAATAAAAACCTTAAAGGACCATTTTAAATAAGAAGTAGAAATGAGACATAGAGTGCATAAAATTTCTCGAGGTCAAAATAGTTTAATTTTAATCAAATGATCATTTTTGCCCATTCAGTAGGCATTGTTGCTCTTACTAGCAGCACAATGTTGAGAAATACTGGACTGGTGGTGGGGGTGGGGAATGCATGTGTGTGTGTTGGGACATGCGTGTGTGCGTGTGCGTGTACACGTGCACACACACATATGCAGAGGCCAGAGGTCAATGTCTGCTGTCTTCCCTATGGATCACACTAGTATCTGAGACAGGCCCTCTCACTGAACCTGCAGCTCACTGACCAACAAGCCTTAGGAGACCCAGCTCTAGGATTACAGGCATGGGCCAGAACACTCAGGTTTTTTTGCTTATTTTATGTGCATTCGTGTTTTGCCTGGATGTATATCTGTGTAAGGATGTCAGATCTTGGAGTTACAGACAGTTGTGATCTGCCATATGGGTGCTGGGAAATGAACCTGGATCCTCTGAAAGAGCAGTCTCTTAACTGCCGAGCCATCTCTCCAGTCCTAACACCAAGTTTTTTGTTGTTTGTTTGGTTTTTCTAGATAGGGTTTCTCTGTAGCTTTGGAGCCTGCCCTGGAACTCACTCTGTAGACCAGGCTGGCCTTGAACTCACACAGATCTGCCTGCCTCTGCCTCCCAAGTGCTGCAATTAAAGGGTGAGCCACCACCACCAGGCAACACCCAGTTTTTTTGCAGATGCTTTAGAACAAAATTCAAGTCCCCATATGCTGTCATGGCAAGCACTTTACCAGAGCCATATCTCTGGCCCATCCACAATTGGTGAAATTTTGAACTATATTTATTTCCAACTCCCCTACCCAAGACTTTTGTTGTTTTCAATACAGGGTTTATCTGTCCTTGGACTGTCCAGAACAGTCCTTGGTTGTCCTAGAACTCAAACAGGCTGGCCTGGAATTGAGAGATCTTCAGAGTGCTGCAATCAAAGGTATTTGCCAACATAAGGCCCAATCCCCTTTCAGGGTGCTAATTAGTAAAGATTGATCATATTCAATAGCCAGATATGATGTCACATAACTGTAATCTCACGTGCTTGGGAGGCAGAGGTAAAAGGACCACTTGAGCCAGGAGTTCAGTACCACTCTAGGCAATGTAAAAAGGCCTCATGTCTCAAAATAAGGAAAAATAAAAAGTGTTTGTATTTAGATTCAATAAACTCCTGAGAATTCAAGACAAGGATTTAAGGGAGACTGAAAACCTGTCAATCGGTTTAATCCCAGAATCCACATAAAGGTGAAGGAGAGAATGGACTCCACGAGGTTCTCCTCTGCCCTCCAAACATATACCAGGCGTGTAAGCTCAAGTGCACTTGCTCTCTCACACTGTTCGTGCACGTGCACGCGCGCGCGCGCACACACACACACACACACACACACACACACCAACACACACAGTTATTTTAAACACTGAACAGGAATCTATATTATCTTCTTGAGTGGGTTTGGTTAGGAAACCTCAGAATAAATGAGCAGCTGTCAAGGTAGATGGCTCTCCTTCCCAGTGCCAACTACAGCATCTCCTTCCTGTCCTACTCACCTTTCTCAATCTGCAAAACGAATGCCATTGCAAAGCATCCCTGTTTATTAAAATATGCGTTAGGATAGAAAGAAATAAGCTAGCAGTGTGGTAGCAGAAGTCCGTAAGGATAGCACCTTATCCTTAGGTGCTTATAGGTGGAAACAGGGGATTGGGAGCTCAAGGTCATCCTCAGCAAGCAGAGTGTTCTGAGGCAAGCACAAGCTACGAAAGAGCCTGTCGAAAAATTAAAATTATACCTTAACATCGGAATCTACCATTCCTGCAAGACCCTTTTGAAATTCTGGGAGAAGCTTGCTCACGGAAGCCTCTCCTTAGGACTAAGAGTGTAGCTCCACAAGGCGTGTGCTCAACATGAACAAGACCTGGGCACCAGCCTGAGCTCCACCCAGAGAAAGCCCCCAAACCCAAACAACAAAACTCCTAAACACAACCTAAAGGTTTCATAGACCTTGAACGTCAAGAACCAGAATTCTCACTCTAGCCTTCAGATATGCTGTCAGTGCTCCCATTTCCTTCGACATGACAGGACCTACCCACGAACACCTGAAAAGTAAAGACTCGCAAACTGAAGGCTCCAGCTGTACCACATTCTCCTTTGGTCAAACTGCCAGGCTAGCATCTGTCAGCAGGGTCAAAGAATTCCTTATCTTTTCTTTTTTGAGACAAGATCATATAAGTAACCCAGGCTGAGTTGGAATTCTTAATCCTATAGCCAGGCCTTGGTGCTGAACCACCACGCCCAGATTTTCTCTCATAACAGAGCCTAAAAGCTTATGGACAAATCAATTCCCAGGAGCCTGCTAAGTGCCTACTAGAGAGCAAAGGCTCCCAATGAACGCATACTCTCAGTACCCCTATCTGATCCAAACTGTCCAGGACCCTGCCTACTGCTGTGACTTCAGACTATGTGAGAAAGCAACAGAAACAAGGGCACTTTCTCCATTCAATATTTCTGTCGGGAGCACTTCCTGGGTTTTGCATTGGCATTTAATACCAAGGCACAAGACTCGTTTTTCATTAAAGTTGCAAGACTTTCACTTTGCCCAGTTTCAAATGGTGTAATTGATCTGCACTGTCTTCTTAAATAACCCAACTGGTGAAGGACACTGCAGCTTTAAATATTTCAGTGCTAGCTAGCAAATAGACTCCATTGCAATATGGCTCTGAAGGTCGCGTCCTATTGTCTTTCCTGGAAAAAACAAAAAACCCTAAATCCTTCTTTTAAGTAACATGGGAATAATTTCCCCTAGAATTTCCACTCTTCTGCTTCAGTCCCTTATAGGGTGTTTATTGGAATCTCACACTCATAATTTTCCTGGCAGGAGCAATATGCTGATTATTAGTGATCCCAGCATCTTCGTGAGACATAAACACATGTGTTCGCATTAGCTTAGTTGAGCATATGCAACTATTTGAAATAGCACCACTCGAAGGCTGTTAACCGCTTTAAGAGTATATATAAAGCCAGGGTGGTTTGGGCGTGGATGGCTTTCCGGCACTTTGAGCCTAGGATTGCATAACGTGAAAATGTGTAGCTACTTAAAATGATAGGAATCTCAGCCTACTCCTCCTGGGACCACTCCCGCACCTGGCTATATACACTTGCGGCTTCATTTGTCAAAGAGGGCCAAAAATAAGATGCACAAGCACAGTGAAGAGGAAATGAACTGGAAGGAAAAAAGGCCCTTTTCTACCCGCAAGCAGTCACAATGTTCTCCCAACCTCACACCCCACCCCCACCCAGAGTGAGCAGAATAGTCCTAGTGAACCAGAAGGTTTGAGGGGAGCTGCAATTCACCGTCCCTTCTAAATAACGGCGGGTGGATCGATCAAGAGAACCCGGGAAGAGGAAAGAAACGGGCGGGAGCGAGGTGTGTGCAAGAGCACAGGGCATTACCTGAAAAGGCAACAGATTGTTACCATTATCGGTTCGGAAAGCGTTATCCTCCATCCAGGATTTGGAGGTGAGCGGGGCCGCACGAGGGAACTTAGGTGGCGCGATCACATTGCTGGAGAAGGGCTTTTTGAGCGGCGAGATGGGGTTAAGCGGGGAGGGTACCCCTACACCCACGCCCACGCCCACGCCAACAGCGCGGCGAGGGTCCCGGCCGGCCTGTAGGCCACCCCACGGGTTGGACGGGGCACTCCAGGCGGCGTTCACGCTCTGGTGCGTGTTCCAGCTGGACGAGGCCGAGGAGGCGGCGGCCGCGGCAGCAGCGGCCGCAGCGGCCGAAGATGAGGACGGCTGGAACACGCACCAGAGCGTGAACGCCGCCTGGAGTGCCCCGTCC